GTCAAGAAATCAATCTAAAATCAATATAAAGCCATTAGTGGCATAAAAAAATGTGCTGCATTGATGGAGAGGAAACTGGAGGGAATGAGGTCACACAGCGAGTTCAACTGTGAGAGCTGAGGGGAAACAGGAAGTGGCTTCAGTAGCTCTGCAGACGGAGAGCGCACGCTGTCACTTCCTGTGCTGGAGGTGAGACGGGCTTACCCTGCACCGTCCCCCAGGGATACTGCCGGGCCTTCACCATCTTGTTCCCGATCTTCACCTCCTCCGTGCTCCCCACCACGGCAAACGGCAGATGGCTCTGCAGCAAAGACAGCGCTGTTAGCGTCCCGCTACACCTGCAGGCGCAGGTGGCTACGCTAGCTTCAACGGTTCAGCAGCAAAGCAAACACTGCAGGAATGTCGAGTCCAGATCGGGGTTAATGAACAGCTAGCAGAGCTGCTCCCACGCGGCCGACTTCCTGCAGCGTGAATCGACTGATTGTGCTGCTTTCCAAACATTTCTCCCTACATGTGACGGCCTCCAGTCCAGACCATGTGAGCAGAAAACAAACACAATGCCTGCCCTCACTCATAAGATCTTTTAACACTTTTCAAGTTATATTTGTTTGTTCAGAAAGACGGATTTCCATCACATTCATTAATTATAGCTTCAAGTAGAAAAGGCATGGAAGCAGAAAGTCCAGGTGTCAAAACTGCCTTTCTGGGACTTTCATACGACTTATTTTAGTTGAGAACAAAAATAAAAACGATCAGAACTGAGCAAAACTGAACCTCAAAGAATAAAAATGAAAAAGGGCAGAATCACATAAAACAAGATTATTTTGTAATTATGTTTCTAGAACAAAAATGGAGAGATAAATAGATAAATAAATGATGCCCAACTCTGAGTGTCTGTAAATCTAAGTTTTCTCTGGACTTATTTGCAGATTAATATACAGATCTGGAAAAAACTGCATTGAACCTCATGCAGGTTCAATGCATGCAGGTTCAAAACCTCCTGGTTTTTCCACCAAATATTCATTTCTGATGTCTTCCTGAGTTAAAACATTAGTTTGTTGTTTTTAAATTAATATAAACTTGTTTTCTTTGCGTTATTTAAGGTCTGAAAGCTCTGCATCTGTCATTATTTTGACCATTTCTCATTTTCTGCAAATAAATAAAATATTTTCCTAGAAATTTCAGACACGCCGTCAGCAGTTCATACAATAAAATAATGTTAATTTTACTCAGACTTATAACTAAAATTAGAGAAACTGATCATTTTAAAAGGTCTTTTATTTTTTCCCAGAGCTGTGTTTTCATGTGCATTCTTGATATTATTTTTTACTTTATATTTAGTCATATTTAAATGACTTGCAATATCAACACAATGATTTTTTAAATACATTTTATGCCATTTATGGTGATATTCATATTTAATTAACACTTTGAATTCAGTAAATTTCTCCTTAAGGATCAATAAAGTATTATATTCTATTTGGTTCAGATCTTATAATATTTTTCTTTTTCATCTTGGAGGAAAAACAAATATCCTCCTTAACTTAAATCTGATAGTTTCACTCATCAGTAGAAGGCGATTCTTACTTTAATCATCTCCAGCGGCTTTTTAGTCAATAATTTATAAGTGAAAATGTAAGAAGTGAGGAGGAAATGTGGGCCTTACGTTCATGGTGGAGTTGATTTCGGCCACGGACTCGTCGTCGGTGGGGAACTGGTAGATCTGGACGCCGTTGCTGACCAGTTCGCTGGTGATTTTGATCTTGAACTTGGCCAGTTCACTCTTGGAGATGGCGTCCGATTTTGCAACGATGGGGATGATGTTGACCTGCAGGTGAGGAAGAAGAGAAGAAGCTTTAGTTGGCTAAATTTAGACCGTCTGAAGGCGCTCATCAAACGGGCTTCTGCTCTGATTCTGGAGTCCAAATTTAGATAAAGGCTCACAAAGGAACAAACACGTTAAAAATCAGCCAAGTTTACAAAAATGTTTAGAAATCATCATCTCTGAGGGAAACATGTGAACATTAGTTTAGCAATTGATTTTTCTATCAATTAATCAGGCAAAAAAATTGGCATATCATTTAGGCCTTTTTTATACAATATTAATTATTTTTTAAGCAAGAAAACAAACATATTACCTAAAAAGCATTCCTTTAGTAAACACTTGATTGATAGTAGCAAAGAAATGCATCTGCAGCTAAAAATAATAACTTCTGACAGGAACCAGGGCTGAGTTAGTGGAGCACTCCCACTCTTCAGCGTGGAAGTTGATGTATTGGACTCAAAGTCAGCCATGTTCAGAACCAATGAGATGATCAGAAAGAAACCAGAGGAAGCACAAAGTTTAAAAGAAGACTACGTTTCCTACAGAGGCTGATCCTGCCGGTCGCTACGGCAGAGAGACTATCGGACGTTTCCAGCCTGAATATTTTGGATAAGGGAAAAAAAAGATTTATCAAATTAGCAAAGAAGTAAAACGACTCTGCGCCAACTTCAGCTAACAGAAGCTCATGTAACATAGCAGCTTCAAATGTCCTGTTTTATCATCTTGACCTTTAACCTGCGTCCATCGTTCTGGATCTAAAAACAATGGCGGCGTTCTGGAAATCTCCGAGTTAAGATAAACTTTGTAACAATAACAGTGCAATACGAAATGCTGAAGCCAGTTTGTTAAAATGTCAACGCCAAACACTTTATTTTTGACCCATTTATCAATCGGTCAATTCAAAAATACACTGTAATGATGTTAAACATAAAGGCCTGAGCTTTTCTCATTGTTTAAACTGCAGATTCTTCCTTCTCTAAAGAAACGCTCAACTACGGTACTATAGGCAATAAAATGTTTATTTTCTTATTTAAAAATGCAACTCACTTGTTTAATTGCACCTCTTAATGTATTTTTAACATTGTATAAAATAAACTTTAGTGGTTAAATGAAAATGCTACAGAATGTGGCAATTGTTGTTATTTAATTAATCGTCAGAATAATCAATGACTAAAATAATCATTAGCTGCAGGTTCAGTTAGTTTCTAGTTTGGACGCCTCCTTTGTTCCTAATATGAATAATTAATAATCTGTCAGAGGAGGACAGATTATTTTAAGTAAGAAAAATAATTTTCTTACTTAAAAATAAACCTGAATCTGCTGAAAAGGCATCAAAAAGTCGGTGCAGTTCTATGAAACCAGGAAACAGGCCTTAATGTGTAGCATATCCATGCTAGCTTCACAACCAAATGAAAAGAGAAACATTGAGTTTTGATCTTTAATCTTTGCTAGTTGTGCAAACAGATCCTGCAGGACGGCAGGAGACGATCAGGCAGGGTCTGTTTTCTGTTGCAAAACGAGAATCTTCCTCCCACGCAACATTTTTCTGCCGTTTGAACGACATGTGAGCCGCTTGTAGCTAAGAGCGACGAGCGCTCTGGGTCATGGGAACAAAAACAGGTCGTTCCATCATGTAACACCCCCCGGGATGAATATCTCAGAGCAGGAGGAGGAGGAGGAGGAAACGCTGCACTGGGTCACACAAACACCAGACATGCTCTGTGCTACAGTGATTCATGTGTCGCTGTCAGAGCTCACCTTGCTGTCGAGCTTCTTCATCGTCACCAGGTCCAGGGATTTCAGCGAGTGTCCCGTCGGAGCGATAAAGTACAAGCAAGCGTGGATGCGGGTGTCGTGGTAGCTGTGCAGCGTGCGTTTGATCTTCAGCTCCTCCTGGAGGTACGCTTCGAACTGGGCATCGATGAACTCCACAATGGATTTGTAGCTGGACAATGAGAAGGATGGGGAAGCCGTTCAGCATTTCCTCCTTTTGTTAAGAAAGCTGGTTATCAGCAGGCGGCCCGCTCCGTTTAACCCAGCAGGTCCGAGTCACTCCAACAAACAACTACACACAGCTTTGACAGTAGATTTTCTTTTAACTTTCGCCCCAAAAACACTTTCATTGATAAAGCAATAAAAATAAAAAAAGACAGTTTAAATTCACTATTATATAATTTATTACTGTAATACTAAGTATTAATAAAATATTAGGTATTAAAGCATTAATATTGCCAGACTGACATGCTTTGAAGCCTTGAAGGGTGTTTATGTGAAATAATAATAAACATTATAATTTCTTTTAACCACATAAATTATGTTTGTATTTTATTGAATGTGAATTTTCTTTGCTATTTTGAGCATCGCTGTAAAGATGCAGCTTGAACAAAAATTCCTTATAATATTCTGTGAAGATTGTGTGATAATATTCTACAGAAAATGTTTGAAATGTCTCTCAAATACATTTATGAACAAAACAGACAAAAAAAATCCCCCAATTTTATTAACGTATAAAATAAAAACCAACCTTTGCTTCAGTTACACAGATCAATCATTGGCTTTAGGAAACAATAAATATTCAAAGATAAAATAAAAAAAACGTTTTTTAGGCTTTAAATTAAACGTTATTTTAAACTTCATAATGAAACTCTGCAGTTTGAATACCAAGCACTTAACGACTCCTGTATCTTGCTGAAAAGCTGCTTTTAATTTAGTTTTATTTCAAATGTTTCAAGATGATTTCACTATAAACCAGAGCAAAAGGACTTGGTAAGATTTTGTGATTCTGCAGTGTATGTAATTGTTGTGTTAATGTTATAAAACTGGTATTTTCTCATAGTGACTCAGTTATTACTGATAATTTCCAGTAACTCTCCAACAGTCACTCAGTAAATTTCAACCAAATTAACTAATTCTGATTAAGTTTATAAAGTTTTCAATCTACAAGAATTAAAATAAACTTCATAAAATTGACAGAAAAATGTAATTTCTAACCCCGTCTTTACATGTCGCATGAAAACATGCAGATGAGGGAACATTAACCCGCTATGCCATCATACTAAAGGAATCTCGCCTGGCCTGCAGCAGGTCAAAGGTCACATGACTCCAACTGGGTTTGTTCCTGTTTAACGCGCTGCAGGACGTTTCTTCTTGAACACAGCAAAGATGGGATGAAGCTACAGATTTAGCGTCACATGATAGCTTCCCTCCCTGCAGGTGACATGTGAGCCTCTATCAGCCGTGAATGTTTGGAAATAAAATATTCCAGGCGAACAAAACCGACCCCTGGGATGCGATACGTTTGTGATGCCAGCCTGGAAACCACCTACATCCATTTTTTCTTTATAAAAGCATCTGAAACCATCAAACCTGAAAGCTTAGAGCTCTCTCAGGGTTTCCCTCAGTGTATTATAAGCCTGGCGGGCCACCAGGCTTTACTTATGCCCCCACCAGGCTTAGCATTGCTTATTTATTTCAGGGTTTTTTTTATGTTTGCATTTCTAGTTGGTGTTCAGATATTAATCTTCCAATCTTCCAATAATACATAATTATCAAGTGATATTTTCAAATTTTCTATCAACTTTAAACATTTTTTTAACTCAAAAACACGATGAGCTGCTGGGTGAATCCCTGCTGAGCGCCCCAACCACCAGGCTGTTCTGGGGGAAACCTCGTCTCTGGTTGTATTTTCTGTCAGGAATAATCATGACCGCGTGGTGAGGCTCGTTACCTGTCCTCCTTGTTGATCTGGTCTCCGAAGCCCACCGTGTTGACGACAGTCAGCTTGAGGCGCACGTTGCTCTCCTGCAGCTCGTAGGTGTTGGACTTCAGCGTGACGCCTGGCTGGTTGTGCTGGGTGGGCTCGCCCTCAAACTTGGTGTTGAACAGCGTGTCCATCAGAGTGGACTTACCCAGACCCGTCTCACCTGGAAAACAGAAACACAGCGTTACATTAGGGGAGTCCAAAGTGTGGCGCGGGGGCCGTTTGTGGGCCCTGGACTGATTTTGTGCGGCCCCCTGACTGCAATTTAAGAGTAATACAAATGCAGCCTAAAGGATTGACGTTTTTATTTTTAACTGGAGCAGAAAGATTACAGATAAGTTTAAATCATCTTAAAATATAAAGTATTAATCTTTAAATAACCACTTTTCATTTTTTAGCTGAGACATCTATCCAGTTCCACAATCTGAGCGACATAAATCTTTCTTTTATTTGCTATGTTTTTTTCATTTAACGGAACAAATTAGCAAAACTCTTCTTACGTTTTGGCTCTACTACCTCTTTCCAACACTTACAAAAAAAAATACTTAATTTCTTTAATTAAAACTATTACATTGTCAAATTGGAGGGAAAAAAAGTAACTCACAATATAACTTTTTATGGAAAAAAAAACAACATCTTTTTGACCTGGAAGACAATTCTGCGCCATGTAACAAAAGGTTGGAACGTGCCTGCTTTAAATCAAAGAAATTAAAACATTTAAATGTACAAAATCATCATCACTCTGTCCTCATTCACTTTAAAAACATAAATGTCTAAGTCAAAGACAGGTGGCTTTTTAATCAGCTTTATTTTAAGCTCCTTAGATGACTTGATTGAATCCAAAGCAGAAATGAGGAATAAATCAGGTGTGTAGATTTAATGGCAGCCTGGAGGAGTTTTTACCCTCATGCTTACAGAAGTCGTGCATTCTGCCTGCTTTCTGGTTCAGACCGTCAGATGACTCAGATGTGGAGCTTCCTCAGTCAGAAAATCTATTTTCATTCTTCACAGCCTGACCTACAGTCTGTGCCAATTACATAGGAAATATCACCAGATCAGATGGAGCCAGATCAGCTATATTGTTGTGGTTTCAAAACATATTAATGTATAAGAACGTCCCAGTCAAAGTCCAGGCCTAAATTCAACTGAAAGTCTGTGGCAATACTTGAAATCTGATGTTCACAGACATCAAATGACTGAGCAAAACCTGAGCTACAAAGAAGAATTGGTGAATATTTAATTCTCCAAGAAGCTGGAGACAGAACCCGAAAACTTGCAGCAATCAAACTAGATGTGAACTCAAGCAGACAGAACAGGCGAATGACAGATTCTCTGATTTTTTTCTAGAATATTTTAAAAGCAATATCTCGTTTTCTTTTCACTCTACATTTATTCAACACTTTGCGTTGATCTAACCCATAAGATCACTTGAAAACTTCTGTAAGTCAATGTTTATAACTGAATTTCTGCAGAGAAAAGCTTCTGGTTCTCCCTCCCATCATTGTAAAGTACTGACTAAAACTAAACTAGTCCGAATTAGTTTTCCAGGCTGACAAAATCTAAATCTCAATCTGCAACAAGCTGCACTTTTAGAATAAAACAGAAGGATATCTGGCAGAAATGTTTTGAGAATTAGTTTGCCATCTTTCAAATGGAAAATTTATAAAAAACAAACAAACAAACAAACAAAAAAGAGCTTAGATGTATTTTTTTAACCCCTCCACCTACATGGGATCTTTAGTAGAGAAAAAAGACCAATGGAAAGTGGTTAAAGTCATAAAATAACTCTTAATGTTTATTATTTTCCCTATTGTTATGATCAGCAGGGAACATGGCAAGAGGCTGAGAGAGGGGGATTACGTTCAGGAAGCAAATCCATTCAGAATACAAAACGACAATGGAAGAAAAACATCTTTAAAAGAAAGTGCGTTTTAATAATCTTTCTGTCTAAAAAATTTTAATAAATAGTTTGGGGATGCAAAATAAAGATTTATCATTGCAGAAAACAAGGACATTTCATCTGGACTTGTGAGAGGAAAATGCTTTGAAGGCGTGTTGATGTGGTTGACTGTGGCCAGAAGAAAGCCATATTGTTTACACTCCGTCATGCCAATGTGTCAAACAAAACATAGGGAACAACATAATTAGATAAACCAGTAACCACCACAAAGCATAGCCTCCAATAAGCTTAGTAAAAACTAATAACTGCGAGTTAACTAAAAGAAATGCAATGCATCTACATCCAGATGATACCAGATATTTACACACAGTAAATATGTTTTTCCTCACTGTTTGAAGTTAACCGAGACCAAACGTTTTATCTTTTAGCTTAGTTAGAGCGACCAAAATTATTCCTACTTGCTAAATTGTTCTTGTACCTTTGTCACTATGGTAACTGAAACAGAGCCTATCAGAGAGCATAGACAGTAAGGTGTGATTCCTCATGTGAAACTAATATCTGGTGTTATTAAAGCTGGTAGACAAACAACATGCAGAGGTTTGTGGCGCTCACCAACGCAGAGGATGTTGAAGCAGAAACCACGGTTGACAGACTTGTTGACCAGCTGGTCAGGCATGCTGTCAAAGCCAACATGGCCGGCCAGAGGCACAGCGCGGACTCCTTCGCCCTAAAAGCACAAGAAATCAGGTTAGTGTCTGCAGTTCCAAAAACTCCCATTTATCTCTGCTCGTCGCTGCATCAGCAGCTGAAACTCGCATTACCTCGTCCTCCATCTTATCCGACTGACAGCGAACCAAACTGAATTCAGGTGCAGTCTAACTCACTTCCTGTTTTCAGAGCTGCAGCACTCTTCCGTCAAAATCGAGACAGTTCGAAACCACAAAGTACATATATGGAAGGTAATGGCTCCTCTTTTAGACAACAAAAAGAGGAGAAAATACCGGCTAATAAAGACCGAATGTATTTTATCAGGATTTTTGTAAAACATGGTGGTGCACGGTTCTGAAGTGAACTAAAAAGTTGCCCGGTTGTATTCTGTCCTTTGCTAAGGCACTGAAAAATAAAATCCACTTTGACCAACTGTCTTTCAAACAAATGTAATTACTAAGCAGAGTATTAATGTGTTAATTTGAGTGTCATTACAAATACAGCTGTTTATGACGGTCTTAGAGCAGGGCAGTAAGAGTCAAAAGTATTCACAGGCCAAAAAAGTCCCCTCAAAATTTAAGCAAATAAAGTAGCCAGATTTTATTTTAACTTTATATAGATTTTTTAAATAAATGATATTCATTGCAGATCTAAAACTTAAAAGGGATTTTGCACATTTAATGTATTAAAAGAAAGGCATCTACTTTTCAATTTATTTTAGGTTTGATTAAACAAATTTATTTTCAGTAATAAGAACAGGATTTGACTCACTTTTTTCATAATGCTTGTTATACTTAGCCAAGTTTCAAAAAGACAAAAAAAGCTGATATGGATGTATCAAAGTTGCCTTTTCAGGAAAAGGATCTGAATAAATAAGCATGATTCTGCCTTTTGTTAATGCTTAGCTGTAAAAAAAAAAAAAAAAAAAAAAAAAAAAATAAATTTTTTTTTTTGAAAAAAAATTTTTTTTAATAAATTTTTCCCCAATTAAAAATAAAAAG